TATTGTTTTATTCAATTGTTGCTTGAGAACATGTTTATTTACGAAGCCATTACTCAGTAACGGCTGCCTCTGCTGGCTTCACAGTTCTCTTGAGTAAATATTCCACAGCATTTGAGTAGATCTATATCGGAAAAGCATCGATCTTGCCACCTAGAAATGCTGCTGGTAAATTCGGTAATAACAAATCTAACATTAATACTAATAATAATATTAATAATAAAATATTTAGTTAAAATATTTTAGACATTTATAAGAATGTCCAAAGCCACATCAGACATCTATGTCAATCAATATCAAACAAGTGACAATGTAGTTCAACTCTCCCCCCTTAGGCGGCAAATTTCTAAGGGACGACACTTTGCTATGGAGACACTTTTGTTTACAGGAAGCTTACCCTTCATATCTCGTACACAATACGTTTGTACATGCACGTAGTAAATAATTATAAAAAGGCATCTAGTATATGACATAGCAAACAATCAAACCCATTTGAAATGGAGAGCAGAAGAACATTATTTTTTAATGCTAGTGGGGTGGGACTAAGTCCCTTGTACATGGCCGCGCCATAGCTCAAGCGGCTAGTTAGTTAGTTATCGGAGAGGGTGGGTTTCCCATGCACTTAGACCAGTATTGGTCCATTGTGCTTCCCTCTATAATATTCTACCAGTCTCTGTACCCTACCGATATTGGTGCATACCATCAGTCCCGACCGAGCCAGCGAGTTCGGCCTCTACTGGCTTGGCGGTATCTATGATGATTCCCCCATTTATCAGAGGCGTTAGAGACTACTGTTGGGCGGGAAACGTCCTTGAATTTGGCTCAGTGACCTCCTTTGGAGATATGAGGTTCTTTTACGTGCCGTAAAGCTACGAAACGGGACCCACGGCTTAAAGTCCCTCCCGGAGGACTTGTTCCCTGAATTTTTCCGCCCTTAAAAATTCCACGACCTCCAGCGGGTTTGAACCCGCGTACCACGAGTCATGAGGTGGGAACGTTACCTCTAGACTACGGAGACCGCTTTAGCTCAAGCGGTTAGTCGCTGGCTTCCCACTGCGGCGGCCCGGGTTCGATCCCGGGTCTGGTCAAGTGGGATTTATGGTGGACAAAGTGGCGCTGGGACAGGTTTTCTCCGAGTACTTCGGTTTCCCCTGCCAACTTTCATTCCACCAATTGCTCCACAATCACCCTCACCACCCTCACCTATCATCTGTGGCTGGTAGAATAGTCCAGAAGTGGCCGCAGTACAAAGGACTTAGTCCCACCCCACTAGCCTATTGTACCAGTCCTGGATGATAGCTGAGGGTGATTGTGGAGCAATTGGTGAATGAAGATTGGCATGGAAAACCGAAATACTCGGAGAAAACCTGTCCCAGCGCCACTTTGTCCACCACAAATCCCACTTGACCAGACCCGGGATCGAACCCGGGCCGCCGCGGTGGGAAGCCAGCGACTAACTGCTTGAGCTATTGCGTGGCCAACATTATTTATTGCTTTAGGAGCAATGGTTCTGAAAATTGGTATGTTTGGGTACTTCACTAACATACACTAAATTAACAAACCATGACAATAATGTGTATTGTAATGATGCAGTTCGATGATTATTTTGCTTTAATACATGAAAAATATAAAAAGACTTTAGTGCATTTTTTCAGCTGGTGGTATAATTGAAGCACAATATTTCATACAATAAATGCTGATCTTAATGTATTCAAGAAAAAATAAAATATATCTAAATGGAGAAAAGAAATTATCTTGCCTGCTTACATGGAGGAATGTGAAGTTGCCAGGATACTTTCTGCTCAACTTTACATAAATTTGATATTAAAGGAAACGTCTGCCTATCTGTGGGCGTATACCATTTATATAATGCCACAAGCAAAAAAAATCAATAATGAAAAGGAGACATATATCGCTCTTGTATTAAAATAAAATGGCGAAGGAATAAAATTGATAAGAAAGAGAAGGAATGTTGAATTTGATGTTCTCATGTTGGCGACTATGACTAATATTGTTTTCTGGGATACTACCCCATATACTCCGGTAGAATTGCGGCTACTTTTCGCAAGATTATATTGCCTCCATTTTCACGGTTGAAAATTGAGCCAAGTACGAAGCGAACAAGAATCAGGAGGCTTCACCACTTCAGACGGGAACACTGTGTTACTCCATAACGTCCTTCAACTTCCACCTGACTACACTGCTTATACCCCAGAGTACGGAATTCTTTATATGAAGGGTTCCTTTCCTTTCACAGGCATAACAGATGTTCGTATTTCTGTTCTCTGCAGCACTTTACTGAACACTTTCGCAGCATTCAAAACTGACAGTTACTGAACGAATAATAGAAATTCTTTTCTTCTTAAATCGAAGGAAGTTATCACTCCAAGCTTCCTGAAATTTTCTATTAAATGAAATTTGAAGTTTTCCTGTCTAGACTTGGATGACCTTGCGGATGCAACATTTTACTAGTCTCTACATTTTTCAGAGAATCTACGAAAATCAATTTCGTATTTACATAGTTTCCAACTGTTAGTCGCTGCTTTTCCACTGCTGCAGCCCGGGTTCAATCCTGAGTCTCTTCATGTGCGTTTTATGGTGGACAAAGTGGAGTTGGGGCAGGTTTTCTCACAGTACTTCGGTTTCCCTGCCCACTCTCTTTCCACTGATTGCTGAGCGATGATCATCATCTATCATCTGGGACTGTACAATAGACCAGAAGAGGCCGCAATACAAACTGGACTCAGCTTCACCCCATTAATAATAATAAACTAAAATCTCCGTGGCTTGAGTCCGCAAGCTACCCAGCGACCGCCGCTTGTCGGAGAACTTAGTGCCAACTGTAGCGGATAGAGGATGTGCGTAGTCAGCGCAACGATTTCCCTCGTCCCTTGATTTCGGTTTTCTTGACCGTGTTATTATTATTAATTATAATAAAGTACATGTTTTCCAAACACTGACATATCTGAGGGACGAACATGAAAGATGATCATGGAAAATCACAATAAAACGAAACGAAACTAATGTGTTATGGAGGATTATGAAAATTACTACTTGCTAGAAAGAGAGAAAAATGCAGCTTTCAAAGAATTTGTTTTGTTTGTTGACGCCACAATTTTCAGTAACGAATATTATACTCAAATAAGTAAGATTAAAAAAATGTTATTACGTCTACTATAATATTCTGGTGTATCTTAGCTCAGTGCATAAGAAATAAACTGCTTCTTACGTTTGTGTTCTTGACTCAGTTTCAGTGCCGATTGGTTGAAGTCACTGCACTATGCATGCTCTCTCATTCTTCCCACACTGTACGTATTCTGCTCAGTTTTGCTACAGTTATTATATATTCTATTGCTAGGCTTTGCTATTGATAAATGATTTATAAAACGCGAAGTGGTAAAGTTCTCCAGAAATTTCTGGAGTGCTTTGTAAGAAAGCCTGACTGGACAAGACGCATCTAAGTACCGAGAAGAATGCTGTTCCTGTGCTTAAGAAATGCGACGTACAGACGTAGTATAGAATTGATATGAAACTATAAATTCTTAACCCAGACAATAGACAGATGTCAGCTTCAACCTTCCATCTCTCCATCCTCTGTGTCTCCTATATGGCTTGCCTATTGGATAGACTGAATAGAATCCAGAGTCGAACTGGATGCGGTAATAGAGGAAAGAGTATGTAGCGTTGGAGGGAAACGAACCCAGACTGGACTATCCCTGCTGGACGGTGGAAATGTTCGTTTCGTCTGAGATGTAGGTGAGATGTGAAGGTGTAAGTCGAAGTGGGCTATTCGGGATATTATGAGGGGCCTGTGACAGTGGCAGAGGTCATGGGTCTGCTGGCTGAGCACAAGCTGTTAGGCCTACATCGGTATAATGTTGTCGAGGTCGAGAGGGTGGATAAGCTGGAGGGGATGATGACACGTTTTCTTTTAAGACATTAAAACTTCCGTGAGAAGGAAAGAGGAAAGTTCTTATACAACTAACGCATATTTTGAATTATAAACAAATGTGCCTTTTATCTTCATTGGCTTAATCTCAGAACTTCAATATATTCATATTTTGTGAATATTTTTAAAACAGATGAAACACGCATAGAGCCATCAGTACCCGTAACAACAGCCACAATGAAAAAGTAAAACGTGGCTAGAATTACTGTACATTCACAAATCATCAATAAATAAATGAATGTAAAAGGGGTGGGCCTTGTCCACAAATCATAAAATGACAATGAATATTGACCCATAAATTCTCAATTAAGAAGATAAGATGAATATCTTAACAAAATTTTAGTATACAAAAAATTATTATAACTGACGAATATTTTAAAATACTTTTTAAATAATTTTACGTTGACATAATGGCATGCAATGCAATAGATTAACGTAAATTGAGCACCTGATGATGGCACTGTAGTGCCAAAACATATTGTGAAGTGACAGGTGAAAGTGTATGCACTGCAAGACGGACACTGCGTATATATCATGGAGGAAATTCAGTGCAACAGGACGCTAAAATACAACATTCTCAATTAAAGTTTAATTACTGTCTCACACAACTAAAATATTTTCAAGTTCTTAGATTTATAAAACCCCACAAATCCTATCATGGTTTGTAATTTTGATGTTTAAATCCTGAGGCTATAAAATCATCTACTAATCCTGATGAGTTCTATTTTCTGCGACATATCGTGGTAGATAGAACATCGACTCTCAATGGGCTACATGCTCGCCGTTATGAGAAACTCAAATCCTCTTAATTAATCCTGATTAAATCCAAACTATTAAGCACAATAATCAGTTGTCCTCATATTCATGTTAAGTATTATTTTGATTTGTAAACGGGGAGAAGAATTCTATGTTTAATCCGGACGAGAGGCCAATAGCGGTAAGCTGCATTCGGCCCTCGTTTGATTCAATGTAAGCACTTCACATTGACCGAACCACTGTTACAGTCAAAAGAATTCTAGGTCTAAGAGACAAGACAAAGAATAAGAAACCTTACTTTTGTTGTCCTACGTTGAGATTTCTTCACCTCGTCCTTCGTCAGTTGGAAGTCACGATGAGAGCAGAAGGTAGCGGCCATATTGAATAACAACATGACGGAGACGACCTACTTTCCGAACGAGCGGAAGAAGACGGATGTTTGACGGACCGGGGAGGAGAGACACGGCCGAGCGTACCGTACGAGAACGCGGCCCGGAAATACGCTCAATCTGTCGAGTCTTGATGGCCTGTGAGAGAGAAAACACATGATTTCGTGTGCTTACAGGTAAATGTAGTCAAGGGAGTATTTCATTACTTACCCTATATATTTATTATAATTTACTGTGTTTATAATTACAAATGCTCATGAGTTATAATTTAGCTATGCTTTAAAAATAGGGCAGATATTGGAACAAAATCTGATATTAAACATCGTTAATTTAACTGATTACAAATTTTTCTTCTTAAATAAAAATATTGAACATTTATGTTATGCAAAAGAAAAAAATATGAAAGTGTTATCGATGTCCGTGTTTGGAATAGGCCTAATTGTAACATGCAATTCCTAAAACAATTCACCTTATGAATCTTCATTGAACACACATAGAGGACCTACAGTAACTAATATTTTCCACCTTGTAAACATTCAGAATAAAAAGCAAGAGTGTAAATTTCAGTTTCAAAATTTTCATTAATTTTTACTACTACTACTACTACTACTACAGCCTTGTTTTAGCCCTGCCCGTTTCTTTCAGTTTATAAATCTTATACACAGTCAGTAGGACACCTTGATAGGGGATCAGCCCATCGAAAGTCACCAAACAAACAGAATAAAGGCAAACATCCATGTTTCGAGTGGGATTCAAACCCACGATGCCAATGTTTGAGCTGACGAAGACATTTAATACCTTAGAGTGCGCGGCCACTGTGATCGACCTACGTTGATTTAGCAGATACAAAATCAAAATCTGTATGTCTACACAGTTTAACCGTCCATTAGTTCAAAACTACAGAAGTTTCCCAGTTCCACAAAAAGTCATATATTGCTATGGCCTAAGTAAATCCAGATTGTTCAGTTGTTGTTGTTGTTGTTGCTGCTATTATTATTATATTATCATTATTATTGTTATTATTACTCTACTGATCATCACTGTAAATAGTGAAATGACAAGAGAGTTATTCTGCGCCATATTAGGTCCATATATTTAGCCAGAATTTTACTTTTCTGAATTTTATGAAATCTTTACTTAATGTAGGTATATTAAAACTCATACTTAAAATTGCAAATACTTTAAACTTTAAATGACGTGTTTTACTCTTCACAGATAAATCACAAACAACGAGTTTATGTTTAGAAGCAGTTGTTTTTGAATATTAAGTTTCATTTTTAAATTATAAAATTGCCCGACTAATAAACTCAATGGCAGAGAATATTTTTTGAGTGGATGACAGATGTTCACTGCATTAAGATATTTCTTGCTTCGGAAATTAATATTTAACAACTTTGAAAACTCTTACAAATGACTGTCCATATTCTACTGTTCTATCTCATTTGTATTTTGTATCTATATACCTGTATTTATACTTCATAATCACGAAACTTGCTCCGAACTTGTGGTTTCTCAAAATATAAAGCTGCATGAAAATAAATTTTAATTGAAGCAGGCCACCCACAATATAAATATATTAAAGAGAAAATTATAATAATTCTGAAGAACTCCTTCCCTACTGCACAGGCTACCAGTGCTACAGATCATTTGTATATTATTAACAGTTTCAGTGACTGCAATGTTAATAGCTCAATCTATATATACCGGCATATTGTAGGAGTAATTGTGAGTAATAAACTAAAATATACCTGCCAGGAAGTAAGCAATTATGGCCAAATTCGAGACACCTTTCCGGTTCTTGCTTAATGTACTGAGAAATACTATGAAAATCATCAGTTAAGGTAGTCGCTGTCCCGAACGAAATTCGCACCAGCCACTACCAGGACAAAGTGAAAAGCAGTACCAGTTGAACCAAGCTCTGTTACTGATGCCAAACTTATACCTTATAAAATTGTAATCTAACAATGACATGCTGTGCTCTAGCGTTCACGGTCTTACGGGTCAGAATATTATTTGCAGTTGTAAATATGTTATATGTATGAATTATTATTATTAATTATATCATACAATCTGTCCTCGTCTGTTATAGGCCACCAGTTATTGGCAAGCACTTGGATAAAGGAATTGAATTGTTATTATCATTATTATCATTACTATTACTATTAATATTATTGTTATTGTTATTTCCTTTGCAGAAGAAAAGAGTTATGTAGGCTTAGAAGTTCTGTATACATTAAACAACAAGACATGACCTCAAATATATGCACCGTCGCCATGAATGCATTGCCGACCTGTCATCAATAGACCACGTCGGCAGTCTACCGGCTTATCACAGTTATTATGGCAGCTTTATGTGTATTTCCTGCAGTGAACATTTCATTATTTTATGTGTGTGAAGTATTTCTGTAAAAGCTGCATATTTTCTAAGTTGTTGGCATGTGACATTTCTGCAGCTTATCAACTGGCCATACTATTGATCTCACCTTAGCAATTCGTGAGTCCACAGCATTTTTATTTCCCACTGTATGATATTAAAAATTATGACAATCAGGTGGCCACCAATATTGTAACATCCCCATAAATTTTCCTTTAAATCGGTCAAATCTTAAAAAATTAACTGGAGACATATCGAAACCATGTTGGTCTACAAACATTATCCATAGGAAATTGCAAATAGGCTTAGGAAATGTAAGAGTATTTTTCGAAAAGAAGCTTTTGCCCCCTGCTGATATTTTAGTCCTGTTTAGACTAGCAGCAATTAAGTTCTGTTACCTTATATGTATAATGTTTTCCAATACTTGATCGTAAGTCAGCTCTTTTTGCTTAAAAGGCTTTCCCTATTATCCTAGAGTTGTCTTGGGTTGGAACTCATAAATTTGCTCATACTAATTCCTGTACATCTGATAAAGGAGCGCACTGTCTTCCAGTTCTTCTGTAAAGTATTACTTCTAATTACGAACACCGCCTAACATCCACAACAGTTTTCACAAATTGCACTGAACTTCACGGCACACGGCTGTGAATTGCTGCATTGCGACACGATTTTCTTCCAACATAAAGCAGAACGCTCAAATAATTTGTATTTCTAATGGTAAAAATTAAGGTAAAATTGTCGCTGTGCTTAACTAATTAAGCACTATGCCATGAAGACGTATGGGGAAGTGGATGTATAGATCCACATTTTCATGACCTCGGCACTAGTTGAAGGTGAGTGGTCAGCTTCATGCCCCGGCCACTTTACCCCCTGAGAAAGAACCCCCGGTACCTATTGAATACGAGGCTGGGTGGACTGAAGAGCCGACAACGTGGAGAAGTGAAAATTCTTGACCATATCGGGACCCGGACTCGAACCCCTCGGCCGTCCAGCCCGTAGCCAGTCGCTTTAATGACTACACTATCCCTGATCACAGCATTTATAATGGGATTATAAAAATGTAACACTCTTTTAGTTCAATGAAATTCCAAAAATTAATTAATTGTGATTATTATTGGCGCGGAAACAATTTCAACTCGAATATCTGATTCTTCAAGTAATGAAGGTTATATCTTAGTGACTTGTTAAGCATTGCGGCAGACCATCATAGAGACGAGTGTAAGAACAGTAAACGTATTTATATAATTCTGAGTTGATTTTGTTCTCTAATTTCTGATATCGTTAGTAACCTCATCTATTGGTATACTGAAGGAAAAATACTCGTAATGTCTCGCGTCTATTTCCCGAATGCCCGTAATTAAGTTGGTACATCTGAGCGAGTTTTCATGTAAATTATTTTCAAATTACAGGACAATCTTCAATCAGCTTCAGAAAAACACGCTAAAACATATTACTTCTGAAAGAATAAAATATGTGTTAAATTGACTACCGGTATAGCTTTATAACGCATGTTACATGACATGCTGAATATAAAAATATCATTGCAATTTATTGTTATTGCTAGTGACGCTGTAAACACAAAGGCAAGAGTAAGATTAATCGTACAGATACAAAACGACTGTTACATGATTGTCCCCTGATATGATCACACGGTTGCACGGAAACTATAAGCCAGTCCATTTAATTTAAACAGAATTATGTATGCCTTTATTTTTTTAATTAATAATTATTCTATTCGTTAAATAAAACACAAAAAAATTATATAAATTTCGTTAATTCCTGTAACAATCTCGGGCTAAATACTGGTTTACACTTCAATTTATTTGTTACATAAATTATAATAAATAACAGACATGTCATAACCTTCCTCCTTATGAAAATTTTTAAGTTATTGATCTTCATAAAACTAGAACAGACTCATCTGTTAGACATTTACGCTCTAGGTAATTCGTCACAATTTGCACAAATATCAAAAGATATATACATAACTTATTGCATAAATATGAATTAAGTTTAACACGTAGACCTTACAACCTGGTTATCAAAGTTCCGATATGTGTCTTATCGTGGCATTCTTTGCAAAAGTATATTTGAGCCAACGGCAAGGTAATACCTATAATCTTAACACAGTTTACCAAATTCAGTTGATATAATTTTATACTGGATATTAAATCGATTATAAAATTGCTCGTGCTTAAATTTCTTACTCGAATAATCATTCTTCGTAAATATTTCTGATACCAGTGTTGCTACGAATTTTCATTGTGTATCGGATTAAGGTCAATGACTTTGTCACGAAGACTATATAATTTCTGCGCTCGACGCCATCTTGAAATGGTACAGTCCATGAAATAGCAGGCGATGTAGGGAAATCCAAAACTAATATATTGTACAAATTTTATTTGAATGAATGCAGTTGAATTTTTAAATTGTTTCACCGTTAAATAGTTGCACAAAAGGAGATATATGACGAAATAATTTCAGGATCTGTGTCTATTAAAGAGCGTCCTGAAACAGGCACTTTGGTAGAGGTCTCAGAACTGGACAGAAAGCACATGCCGCTTGACCGAAGTGTGCTGATGTCCCCGACATCTACCATCCGAATATTTTTCAGTCTTTACACCCATGAAGTTGAATGATCATTAATCAAATATTCAAAATTATGGTTGATCTTGTTTCAATTAATTTTTAAATTATAAACAAACAGTCTGAAGAAATAGGGGACTGTGGTGATTATCTACCTCGGCGTACAGAAAGTATAAGT